CATTACACATTGAAATGAGATTGACTGAGCATAGCATTTTTTTATTTAGATGMAAGTAAAAAGTGTGACAACAAACTTAGTTCTCCCCTACATGGAAAAATCCCCAGGTGTGTAAAAAATAATAAAAATATTTGTCCTTATGATTTCTGCAATGCAGAAATTGCAGAAGGAATCACAGAATTAACACAAAATTGAATCTCGTGTAAAGCGTTGAATCTCACAGGGTTTGCTCATTTGGGTGAGTTTCTGACATATTTTGGATGCTGCTGTTTCCTGCACTTACCACCACCTGGTTTATTTAATTAATTACTTATTCACTTTCAAGGCAACATTTTCATCTTTGTTTAATTTGAGTTGGAAAAAAATAAAATGCCAGAGACTTAAACGTTCTAGGGGGGTTAATACCACTGTTCTATACGGAAGCGTATTGCTATCACGCAGGAAAAAAAAAATCCGAGCGCTATCATGTTATAACGTGATACGTATCTTGTTAAAACGTGATACGTATCACGTTTTAACGTGATAGTATCTCGTTAAAACGTGATACGTATCACGTTATAACGTGATAGCGCTCGGATTTTTTTTCCCTGTGTGATAGCAATACGCTTCCGTAGTTCTAGAAGGCAACATATGATCAAAGTTTTTCTCAATGTGGGCAAAACATTATATGAAAATTTGAACGTTGAATAATTTTAGATGCAGTCTTCCTGTTTCTGCAATATATCTTGGACAGTATACAACATTTGTGTCATACAGGTGTTATGAATGGTACAAACCAAAAGAGTGTCAGAATAGTTCTTATTCAACCACAATATCAAATTCACTCTATCCAGGAAGTGCCATGTCTGGATAATAAATTTATTATTATTATTTTTACACTGACTAGCCAGAATGAAACAGGAGTAATGACTTTCTGTGTCTTACATGTAAGGAGTAGAAAGTGATAATTGTGTGACAAGAGTGGAAGTAAAATGTCAGCTGAAAATAATTACTTAATTAAAGTAAAATATCTAAAGTAAAGTATTTTTACTTTATCTTACAACTAGAGAGATTTAGTTAAGTTTACAAGTGGGGCCAAATTATATTGTCTTAAACGGTTACTTTCAAACACTAATTTATTGCATGTGTTGTTAAAATAATGCACAATATTTCTGCAAAAGTAACCATAAAAATTAACAGTGGTGTAAAGGTTTGAACATTAGCATGAACCTCAGTGAAAGTCTGAAGGATGACTGTTTCAATGAGGGTCTGCTCAGCTACGATTGTTAATTATTTCTGTTTTTATTCTTATGGCAGGAAGGACTTCCGTAGCACAGAACCCACTTTAGCTCAAAGCTGGTAAAAAAAGTAAGTGTTTAATTTTTAGGTTTTCATTGTGACATAGTAAAAGTAAAATTTATGATTTAAAAAAATACTTGATAAATTTACAAAAAGACTAAAGTATTGTAACAAATGTAGCCGAACTGCCTCTGCCTAAACGTGTCAGGGCTTTTCTCAATTAAAAAAAATCAACTAAATTAAATAAATGAATAAATAAAGCAGACCTTTTAGAAGGCGATTCTCTTATTTCTGTATTGCTGTAGCTGTATGATAAYWAATYTCCTGAAATCCTGCTGTTTTTGTTTTATGAAGGTTTTTTTTTCTTTCACATAAATTAAAAATGTACGTTTTTAATGGAGATTTTTCCTTTTTTCTTGGCATTACGGACAGCTCACTGTAAATCAAACTCTCCCAAAACGTTTGCCCCGGTTTTAGAAACCTGCAGTTATGAATCTGTTGCTGACAGAATTTCAGGATTTTTAATTTTATGTCCCTTCCAGGAGGTTTTCAGTGAACATTTTAAAAACACAGTTTATGGCATTAATATATCAAAGCATCTGTAAACATAAGATTGGTGCTTTTATCAATAAAAAATGTTCATAAGAAAATAAGGTTTAAAATGTTCTCATTTATCAGATTCTTCTCACATTCTTGAGGGTTTTCGGTGTTTGACTGTCCTGCAGTTTTCTGGAGCATCACGCCATCTAGTGGTAGTTTTAGGAAAGCGCAMCAAGACTCAGCCTGTAGATTTAACAAACTTTTCTTTTACACTTATGTTAGATTTTATCATTTCTTGGCTCAACAAACCACCTCCGCCCAGATTTACAGCTCAAAGGATCACAGATGAAAATCTTTAAATTAATTYTGTCTTTATTAATAATAAAAAGTTCATGATTTAATGAATTCAGTCATTAATTCACTGGTGATTTCACAAGTGAACTCTGAAGGAATTCAGTGAGGCAGCTGGAGACGCCTTCAGGCCCTGCAGAGCATCAGTTAGGTAAGTGTTTTTTTCCTTCCTCTTGTATATTTCTAACAGCAGCAGCTGTTTGTCGTGACTAAACACGAGTGACTAATGTGTGACTTTTGTATACAGAAGTTTTACTTCTGCTTCTTATTTGTTTTAATGAGATTACCAGATATTTCAGAGTTAAAAACAATTAAATGTGATTCATCCTTGTGCAGCATTGTTGCTTTCCCTGTGTGTTATTTCAGGACAGGCATGTGTTTTATTGCCCGTGTGCACTCGGAGAACATTTTGTTCTTTATTGCAAAGGAGAGAAAACATAAGCAGAGACTAAACAACATATTTAGAAGAAAAATGACATCACAGGACCTTGTATTTAATGGGGTTTACACACGACTAGAAACGGCGACGAGGAAATCCTATTAAACAAAAGTCCAGTTTGATTGCTGAACCTTGGATTCCCACCAGCTCACATCCTCTTCCTGGTCTTGAGTCGTGCGGGGCAGGGCAGACCAGAGCAGTTCTTCAGCTGGCAGCTTTAGCATGTGTAGAGGAACATAAAGCTTGCCAGTGAAGAACTGCTGTGAGTCAGCCATCTGTGGTGGGGGAGACCAGACAGCCCGGGGTGACGCACGACCCAGCCGAACGGCTCGAAGAGAGGTGACTCCCCCGGTGTGCACGGTTCTGCAGAAAGAAGAGAAGAAGAAGAGACGTTAACTTCCTCTGTTGCTCCACGAGAAGCAAGAAGCGTAGGCATGGAGGTGGCCTGCAGCCAGTCGCGCACAGACACAGTGGGTGAAGGCGAGCCTCTCTGTTCCATCAGCAGTGAGAGGAGATGTAAAATAATAATAAATGTAAAAATTTAAATGATGCACCGAAGATCAAACATCCCATCAGCAGCTCTGTTGCACAAGATAAATGCTTAGATGCTCTTTTACTTGTGACTTCAATAATAATAATAAATAAAATTATAAAAAAATATAAAAAATCACAAGCTGGCCTCTTGAATATTTCAGTCAGTTACTGTGGTTACACAGCATCACTAAAAGCTGATAATGAGTGGACAGGCTGCACACGAAAGAGAGGGTGAAAATCTCTCAGAAGTGTAAAAAGAAAGAGTTGTGAAACGCTGAGGAAGAGGAGGAGTTTCCAGAGAGGAAACCTCTGGCCAGATTGGATTAACATATTTTAGGTGCATTTTCATTTGGTGGATTTAGTCTGCAGTTCGGCGGTGATAACAGGAACACAGAGACCCAGATAACGTATTAAAGACACAGCAATCCTTGAAGGAATATACATCTCACATCACCTTCCAGGGTGAGAAATGACATATAATCATCAAACTTCAAAATATCATTATGAAACCTCACACTCAACTATGACTCTCAGCTACGACCACATCAAATCTTAATTCAATATCTGGAAAACTGATCAAGTTAGAGTTTGACAACTTCACRAATCCTTATACATAAAAAATTAAAACTGTGTTGGGTTTTTTCCTGCCTTCAGATATCCTGGTCTGATTTTAAAGAACTGCGTACGTGCTCAAATGAAGCCGATGAGCAACGCATTCCTGCAGCTTGGAGAGCCAGAATAATCTCAGGTATTTAGGAGAATTACAACCAGCAGGGCTAAAATTACACCAACATTACTGTGGGAAAATACACTTCTTTACAAACTCATTTGCATCCGTTTCAGTGAGAAGTCTGCACAGAAACRCACCTGACAACTTCATCGACGTGACAAATGTTAGACTTTTTTTCCCCTTCTTCCCCTGAGGTGGTGAGTCAGCAGAAGGCCCGACTGCCTGTGCTGACTTGTAATCAGCACATACCACAAAAAGGATCCATAATCAAATCTGACCGAAACCTCCCACTGCTGCGACACCTTTACATTAGTGCACAAGTCTCGCAGTTTTCAGAATTTATGCACTCGTGATAAGCCGTGCAAAAATGCTTACCTCGCTTTTCAGGAAGCATCTGGAGTCAGGTTTGTTAAATGAAATTATCTTTCATTTAAATGTGATTATTATGGGGCAACAAGTGTGAAGTTAAATGCTAAAACATATATAACACATAGCTCACTTTGAGTGTAAAATTTGAGTTAAAAATTTCCACTGTTTTATTATTTAGCTCACTGTTCTTACATTTTGCCAATTTTTACTAAATGTTAATTATAGGCAGATATTAAATCCTAAATCTTAATGTGTAAATCTAAATGTAAAAAGGTAAATTAATGTGATTGCATGTTTGTTAGGGTTGGGCAAAATCATATTGTGTGCAAATAATAGTCAGAAAAACTTTAATCGATTATTTTTTGGTACTTGACGATTAATACGATTAATGCTGTCAGTTCGTTTGGTGCTGCTCTCCTCTTCAAATATGACGAACATCTAAAAACAAAGTTCTGTAATTTATTAATAACTCCAGTATAAACAGAATTGAAAATTTGATGTGTAGCCTGATTTCTGTACTTTTGACACAATTTGGAACAGATTTTTACAGAGCATTTCTTTCCCACTTGAGTGATTTAAATTGGTCATGTGACTAGGATATGTGGGYGTCCAGAGGCCCCGGGGGATTTATAATCATATTAATCGTTATTGGCTAAATGCGACAATTAATCGTGATTAATTTTTTGGCCAGTATCACCCAACCTTGGTTGAAGTTTACATTTAAAGTATTTCAGAATGGAACGCAGCCTTTGCTGTTGGTGCTCGGCTCTTGTCTATGACATCATCATCATGTGACAATAGCGACTGCTAATACTGCTAACGCTAAAAGACATCCAACTTGCGGTTGCAGCCGGTGTCCAGGCTACCCTTCAAACCCCCGGACCACAGGTACCATCTTTGGTATTTTCAATGAACACACTTTGAATTAAGTTTTTAAATACCATCTTCAGCAGCATTAGCAGTGTTAGCACAGTTAGCAGTGTTAGCACAGTTAGCAGTGTTAGCACAGTTAGCAGCGTTGGAGGTCATCCTCCTGTGACAAAAGCAAACGATCCAGTAACCCTAACAATAAGGTGTCACATCCACATAAAACACACGTTTTTCTTGCAAAAACTATCCTCAGACTGTGGGCAGCAGAAAAACATCAATATCTGGTCAGCTCTAGTTACTACAGAACTTAACATTCATTTGTAACAAAAGAAAATAAGAGTTTTTCCTCCAAGAAAAGAGGTTTGATTTTTTTTAAATCGTGCTCATCACCTGCTGCCTTTTACGCTAAAGCTTTGAACTAAACAGCGTGTTGAGGAGGACTCAGCTACTACCACAAAACTTTATCTCAGTGTCCATCAAGGGGCGGAGTTATGGCCATTTTTGTGTTTACAGTTGATGAGCTGCGGCAACYATCTTGAACCAAGCTGAACCCAATTGTAGATATAAATTCAGTGATTATTTTTTAGGAGTTTCTTTAAGATCCACCCTGTGAAAGGGAAAGTTTAGATACTATATCCAGTTCCCCGGCAAAAACAGAGTAATATAGTGTATGCTGTTAAGTGTCAGGAGGACTGTGATCAGTCGTACATCGGGGAAACAAAACAGCCACTGTTCAAAAGAATGAGCCAGCACAGACGAGCTACTWCATCGGGTCAGGACTCTGCAGTTTACACTCATCTACAGGTCAGGACTCTGCAGTTTACACTCATCTACAGGCCAGTGGTCACTCTTTCAGGGATGAAGATGTTCTCATCCTTGATAGAGAGGAACATTGGTTTGAGAGGAGTAAAGGAAGCCATCTTTGTGAAGAAAAAACATCCACCATTAAACAGAGGTGGAGATCTTCGTGTCCAGTTGTCCTCCTCCTACAACGCTGTTGTTGCAAGTATGACTCCGCCCCCTGTGAGCAAAAGGTGTGAATCAGGGCCCCAATGATACCAACACAAAGAGGGAAAGAGACAAAAACAAGGGGACGTCGAACCCCGCTTGCATTCACTACATACACATAACACGACACGGGTCAGGTGATGGGGCACATGACCCTCTATGAAAAATAGAGCTAATCAAGCCTATTGTTAGTCGATGGCCCTCTTTAGCACGTGACTAACCTGTTTGTCCATGTGGAGGCAGTGCTTATAAGGCTGATTTCACCTGAAACTCAGACTGAAGAAGTCTCTTGGAGGAGAGACGAAATGTTTCACTAAAGAAGAACCCATCCAGAGGAGCTACTGATTTTTTCTTTTTGAGTTTTTTCTACCTGGATTACTGAGATGCATCAGGACAATTTAGRCTATCCTTTATATAAGATCTTGTTCAAACTTGGGGCAACTACTAAAGAAAGAGTTAAATGAGAAAAATGTTTCCTGTTAGCGTAMGCAAATCACTAGAAATGACGTTTTCAGCGTTTCCTGCTGGGACTTTTGTTGTGAACGCAGAGGGATAACCTGAGCGTTGAAAACTGACACGCAGGGCTCATCCCACATGAGGAGGTGTTGRTACGCTGCAGTTAGCTGGGAAAAGTTCAGCGAGGAGGACATGCAGTGCACGTCCAATGGAAGACTACTGGAAACTGTCCCCACTCCAAACTGAAACTAAACCAGTTGYTTGTTTCATAAACAAGCACCGACTGTGGGTGTTATTCCCAATCAGTGCCGAGCACCAAACTCTTCTGTCGTACCACTCTTCCCCCACCGTCTTTCCTGACTAGTCCGTCCTCCCCACCTTCTCCCGGTCAGATCAGACTGTCCCACATTCCTCACATTCCAGCTGCGTATGTTAGAAATTCCATCTGGCTGCGGTGGCCTCGCACCGTCTCCTCCGATCCTTCTTTTCCATCCCTCCGATCCTCACCCACCCCCTCTCCGTCCACTACATCTGGTCTCGACGAGGCTTCGCCGTCACGTTGACCCTGGCCCCCCTCCTGTCACCCTCTCTCTTCCCTTTTTCTTTCTGTCTGCCTCTTCTGAGAGAACGAGGTGAACGGAGTCACGTGGCGATAACGCACGGTCTAACCAACACAAGGCTGAGCTTATCCAGGACCGTGGAAGTGCCGTGTCTGCACAGCGAGACAAATAATAGGGAAGGAACACAGGATGTACGCCTCAGAGGGAAACTAGGAATGACGACRCGTAAACACAAACAAGGAGGAAGCCACAATTAGCTCCAGAGGAAATTGTCTTAACCAAGCTTTAGTCGTTTTGTCTTGAAATCCCAAAACCGACGACATCTGGAACAGACGCGCCACGTTTTTGTGATTTGAGCGAATCCAGTTGAATTTTTGCGTKGTTAGCTTCGTGCTAAAGTGCAACACCACAAGGTGATAGCGCAACATACTGTGACTGATGTTTTGCACATGTCTCCACGATTAAAACCACACGGGGAAACGGGTGGGGGATAAAAAAGAGAGAGAGAGAAAGAGAGAGAGAAGCACAAATTTGCATATTGCAGCAACAGTTCTGTTAATGGGAACGACAATTAAAAAGCTGCAACCAGGTAGATTTCATCGTTGTGGGTGTGGCCCGGTCAGGAGCGGGTTTGCTGTCCCAGTTTGGAGTTTGGACTGAAAATAAAAAATGGGGACAGAAACAGAAGAAAAAGGGCGGAGGCTCACAGTGCAGAGAGCCTCTTCTCACGGCTTGCTGGACTTTAAAGGCTATCTGACTTCAACCAATACAGGGCGTGTTGCGTTGAGGAACAGCTGAATGCCGTTCTGAATTCCTGCCGCAGCCGGGAAATGCTCCGTATGAGGCCTATAAGCCTGGCCTCGGGCAGTCGGTGCCATTTTGTTTGACAGAACTGCATTTCTTCTCTCCATTTGAACCTACATAGTGCGTTCTTTCTTGGCCTGTTCTCCCGCAGACGAGGCACGCAGTAGGAATTAAAGGGTGGAACCCAAGTTGAGCAAGACGGCCTCACTTCTGCAAACGAAAGCAGCACAGAGGAGGTCACTTATTCGGAGCAGAGCACRTAGACGAGCTGCTTTTTTAGGCAAAATCCTGTCACTGGCACACGGTCCTCATTGACAGGGGTGGATTATGTCACACTTTGGACCGCAGTGGCACAGATGCAGCTCGTGACACAGTCTATTGCGCATTCCTACCGGCATGCTGAACTCTGGCTGCACGCTTATATAAGACGTGCCACACTGATGTAACATACAGACCAGTATAAGCTGCCCTCTGGAATCATTTATGTCCCAGAAACACATACACAGGAATTTGCTTTGCATTTAAAATGTTTTATGCACGCTTAGTTTGACTTGGGCGAAGACATTTGAACAGGGAGGCCTGTTTTTCCTCATTTAAACATCACTTTTACTTGAATTTTGCATCTCTGCCAACCGACCGCTGCATTTCTGAGAAATGACTCTGCCTCGGTTGGCCTGATTTTCACCTATCGCCTACTTGAGTGCAGGCTCGCTCCTTGGCCTATCATGAACTCAGCACATTTTAACAGGCTGTGGATTTAAAAAAACCCTCTTTTTGACGAGTTATGCGGTTAGACATCTTCTCATTGCAACACCTCGATGCGGGACTTTGAATCCAGCATTTCAATAGCTGTCAAAAGAAAAAAAAAACATTTAAAACAATGTCATTAACTTCATCACAGTCTTCTATAAAGCTTTGTATTTATTAAGACAGAAATCTGATGTTGGTTTAGTAAGTAAAGATTTCAGCTTTACAGTTCATTTTAATTAAAAACACTAATTTAGCTGTAGAATGAGTTGGCCAAATGTCAGATTTTCAAGAGAGCTCATAAATCCTGTGAGCCCCACCACCACCAGAACCAGTTGGACTCACAGAGATAGGCCTCCAACCAGAACTCCTAAAACATCCAGTTAAATCCAGAGGAATCTGAAAACCTGCAGTTGGAAAACTCAAACCCGACCTGTGGAGGTGAACTGGACTTGGRTAAAGTCGCGGAAAAGAGACGCCCTTAAGGCCATTTCCACATGAACTGGGCCGTGAAGGCACCACGGGATAAATGGGGCTGATAGAACCGAACATTAGCCCGGCAGCAGCAGCACACAGACAGACAGACAGAGAGAGCCTCACCGGTCGAGTCCGTCCACCGGAGCGCAGCGGTCCGCCTCGCCCCTCCGCGGCTCGGTGCTCAGTCCCGGAGCTTTAACCGGGCAGGGTGTGTCAGAGTCTGCGGATTTCTTTAACCTCTCCGCTGGAGGAGGAAAAATACTTTCTTTAAGGAAATAAAGGAACAAAAAAACAAAGGTTTGACAGATTTTGTTTCTCTGGGAGCTTTTTTTTTATCTCCGAAGCAGCGGAGGAGACTCCGCAGGACTTCAACCCCTTTTACACAACTCCTGTCCCGGTCCTCCCTCCCTCTWACATCACACCCAGACCCACACCCGGCTTCCCACTCCGATCAGCTGGCAGCGTCATGACGTAGGCATCACGAGGAGCGGACGTCAGACTCAGCTCTGACGTGCGCGCGCAGGAGACAACCCGGAACTACACCAGTCCCAATAAATAAACAAATAAATAAATAATACAAAAAGAATATGAATTATGAAGAACTGTTCTAGCATTTTATGGTAAATAAACTCTCAATTTATTTCCTCTGGGTGTTTAGATTCATTTTAATGAAATATTCTTACTTTAAAGTCTTAAAATTAAATATCTGTATCTAATAAACTCTTTCTGTTCACTCTAACTAAATGACACTTAAAGGGAGAACTAATTATACAACACAAATTTAACGTGAAGAAACTCGTGCCATCAGAAACTGAGTTTGAATCGCTCAGAATAAATCTATTTGCCTAATTTGAAATTAAATGCATTGGTTTAAAAMTKAACTTCACTCAGTTGAAATTGAATGTAATGGTTTGAATCTCAGCTGATTTGCTTTGAAACATTTTGTTGTGTTAAAAATTCAGTTTGACTGTTTTCACTTTCAGTTCTGTTCAATTTCATTGTCAAAATTCATCTTTGTGTGTGTGTGTGTGTGTGTGTGTGTGTGTGTGTGTGTGTGTGTGTGTGTGTGTGTG